TGTGTAGTGTAGTGTGTAGTGTGTGTGTGTGTGTGTGTGTGTGTGTGTATGTGTGTGTGTATGTGTGTGTGTGTGTATGTGTGTGTGTGTGTGTGTGTGTTTGAGTGTGTGTGTGTTTGTGTCTATTTTCGAATGTGTATACAATGCTTCTGGAACACCGGGTGTGTGTAAATTGAGTAGAATTCATCATTGACATTTTTATCGGTGACGGGTTGAGCCCCTGCTACATACTGATCTACGCGAGATAGAGTCTCAACTGCCCTATACAATTGCTCACGCGATACCGTAGAGATACTCTCGATCGTAGCCTGACTCCCAACATACATAGACTAACTCTCAACATATCGTACTCCTTATCGTACCCAATACTGTGAATTTAATTATGACCTTCTCGTTCAGAGATACGCTGTGCACCGAAACGGATACACACTGGTTGAGTTTCTGAAACTATATGACGGCACAGTGTATGTGTAGGCCCAGAAAATGTACTCTGAACACGTCATCAAGTTAATTTGAACCTATCTTATTCTTCAACAACCGCAAGTAACACATCTTGTTTTCAACATACCACATACTACACGCCACACGCCATATTCCTGCTCTCGCTGTACAACTTACTGTGAATTTACTCAGGAACTCCTCATCCAGAGGTCCGCTGTGCACCGAAACGGGAACGTACTGGTTGAGTTCCTGCAGCTGGCTTACGCACGACAGGGCTGTAGGTTGTCCCAGTACAGCCTCAGTGAGGAAAAACTGAGACGAAAGGTCCAGCATCTCAACAGGGGTGGGGTCGTATAGTACGACAGACTTCACACCGCCGAGAATCGTGTTCTTGGCTGTTATTGTACAGATTTAATTTGATATTTTGGGAACAAAGGGTATGTGGATGAGTCGAGGTGTTTATCCGTATGCGTAGCAATGCAAGTACACAAGTTCTGCCACCGAGAATCGTACTCTTGGCTGATTTCAGGTTGCCGTGATGGGAAAACGGTGATGTGAGGCATGAGGACAAGTTGGTTGGTCCATATGCATGACAATACACAAAAACTGAAGTCATGCCCTTAAATAGCACTCCCGGCTAGTATTGGTTTCCTATCACGGACAATTGAAAAAGTAGGATATGTGGACAATCAACATTTTTAAACACATG